CAGGCCGGGGCGACACGGCAGAGCATGGGGTGCTGGTACGCCAGCAGCGGGACAGAAAGTAAGACGTCAGGCCGACCGAGCTGCGAGACGGCAACTAATGATAAGATGACAGGACGACGAGGCAGAGGAGCGTCACAGAAAATATAGCATCTGGTGCCAGGGAGATCACACGACAGGGCGCAGTGTGCCCCAGAGCCGTGGACGCTTTTAGGTCCGGCACGGCGGGCGCAGCGCACTCTCTTCAAACAGGCCGACTGTCGACATGAATTAATTAACTTGAAGGACCGTCTGTGGCGGTGCGCTGGCTGCCAGATCAGCTGACGAGCTGCCAGATCGGCTGACGGCTGCCGTCTGGATGTCGCGTGACGTCAGGGCCGCTGGCACGGCTGCCGCTAACCGCACGTTGTGCAGCGCGGCCGCTGACGTGTCGGCGGCACCGCCTGGGGCCGTGGCCGACCCGCGGGCAGACGGACGGACGGACGGACGGAGCTGTGACGAAGTGTGGGCGGCGGCCCGACGGCGCTGGCACGGCCGACGCTCGCCCACGGCCAGCGACGCGCCTGCAGACCGGCCCGTGTGACAGCGCCGCACGCCCCGTCGAGGCCGGTATGCCAGGAAGACCGAGAGCGGCGCGCCGGGCCGTTCGGCGGCCGGCGGTCAGCGCCGCCGCGGCGCCGGGGCCGTTCGGCCGTGCCCCGTCCAGTCAGCACGGGTGGCTCCCGGTTCATGCCAGCTGGCATCGGCCGCCCCACCGCTGATTAGTCAATTAAAGCCGAGCGGCCGGCGTCTGTGTCAGCCGGACGGACCACAGCGCTATAACAAACATCCAGCCGGGCCACCAGCACCAGATTAGCGCTGAGATACGACACGGCCGCGCGCGCATAAACAGCACCTCGTGAGTGGCTGGCCGGCCAGGTGGCCGCCCATTCGGTGGCCTGGTAACGAGTCACGCGCTGCGCCTGTGCAGTGGTGCGGACAGAGACGGGCTAACCGCCGCGCGCCCCACAGAGCTCACGACCGGATCCAGCGTGTCATCTCTGAAAGTGAAGCATTCGCTAAAAGCGTTTCTAATAGATAACTGAAATAGGATATTTAGTTCATACATGAATTCCATATGCCTACCTACTGCCCGCGTCCTGCGCCCGAAGCGAATCAGACCTTCACCAATCACATTGTTCGCTTAGGAGAAAGGACCATGAAATAAGTCGTGATAAAACAAAATAAGCTGGTGGTTTTATTTATATATAAAAAAACATTCAGGCTTGTGTCTAGTTAGATGAGTAGGCCAGTCAGTAGACTTTCAGTACCTACTGTGAAGACGTGAAGTAACGGTAAGGACTTGCGGCTAAGATGACTTGTGTCTACATAAGGACCAAGGACGTATGCAAAGTAACGACGATAGATATAGACGGGAACAAGATAGATAAGGCAGTGCCAGTGCCATTAACTTGACAGATTTATTGGTGGGGCGCTCGCTATCCGATAGATCCTAAATGCTATCTCCCAGCTCCTTGCCACCATCGTGTAGGTAAGTAGGTATATGTGTATAAGAGTCCGTCCGTCCGTCCGTCCGTCCGTCCGTCCGTCCGTCCGTCCGTCCGTCCGTCCGTCCGTCCGTCCGTCCGTCCGTCCGTCCGTCCGTCCGTCCGTCCGTCCGTCCGTCCGTCCGTCCGTCCGTCCGTCCGTCCGTCTGTCCGTCTGTCCGTCTGTCCGTCTGTCCGTCTGTCCGTCTGTCCGTCTGTCCGTCTGTCCGTCTGTCCGTCTGTCCGTCTGTCCGTCCGTCCGTCCGTCCGTCCGTCCGTCCGTCCGTCCGTCCGTCCGTCCGTCCGTCCGTCCGTCCGTCCGTCTGTCTGTCTGTCTGTCTGTCTGTCTGTCTGTCTGTCTGTCTGTCTGTCTGTCTGTCTGTCTGTCTGTCTGTCTGTCTGTCTGTCTGTCTGTCTGTCTGTCTGTCTGTCTGTCCGTCCGTCCGTCCGTCTGTCCGTCCGTCCGTCCGTCCGTCCGTCTGTCTGTCTGTCTGTCTGTCTGTCTGTCTGTCTGTCTGTCTGTCTGTCTGTCTGTCTGTCTGTCTGTCTGTCTGTCTGTCTGTCTGTCTGTCTGTCTGTCTGTCTGTCTGTCTGTCTGTCTGTCTGTCTGTCTGTCTGTCTGTCTGTCTGTCTGTCTGTCTGTCTGTCTGTCTGTCTGTCTGTCTGTCTGTCTGTCTGTCTGTCTGTCTGTCTGTCTGTCTGTCTGTCTGTCTGTCTGTCTGTCTGTCTGTCTGTCTGTCTGTCTGTGTGCGTGTGTGTCTGTGTGTCCTGCAGTGAGACAGCGCACCCACGGTGATCCGGTGTGTTGCCGACCGCAGCACACATGAGGAGCGGTGCGAACCGCAGCGGGGCGCAGTCAGTGTGGGCACGGGACCACCGCACGGCGCACACCTATCGTACTGGGCGCGGTCTGCACTGCGGGCAGCGATGGCTTATCACTTATCAGTCAGCCCTGTAATGTATGAAACTACTTACAGTACCTGTGCCTGAATCTTTCTCCAGGGACCAGTGTGACCCAGAGATTGACCCCTGGGGACGAGATGTGATCCTCTGTCTGACCCCACCTCGGACCTGCGGCAGCCCTGTGTCTAAATCCGCCCGGGGAACAGCCTGCGGTGCTCGAGAGCCTCTCTTGGATTCATGCGTGTCATTGTTCAAATATCCCGTCCTCACACTCAGCTCTTTGGAAACGCAGAGGCATCGTTCATTTAACACTCAGCCTCCCACACGTCATGCAGTTGTTTAGACGGATGACTCATGAAATTATGGTCAGTCCGTGACCGAAGAATTTGACTGACTGATCGCTAAGGCAGCACTTGGTAATTGCAACTCAGAAATCCCCTACATAGGTATGAACGAACTTTTGCTCGTGGCTCAGGGAACCCTTTATTTATAAACGACACTCGGTCTATGACTCAGGAAGCCCTATATTTACGATACCCGGTCTATGACTGGTAAATTCCTAGACGGCACTCGGTCCATGGCTTTGGAATTTCTACGGATTCGGTCCGTAATTAAAAAGTGGCCTTATATGAAGTCCCAGACGGTTTATGGTATTCGGTCTGTGACTGAAAATTGATCAGGCGGTACCCTCCGTCTGTATGACTGGGGTGTACAGTTGGTCGACACTCAGACATGTGCTGCACTGAGTGCACGTCCACAGAGTATCTGTACCCGTTTCCGCTGACACGCGCAGGGCGTTGTAGTCGGGTCGGCCGCCGCTCTGGGACTCTAGTAGGCAGTCTGGGACGCTCCGGGGAGCGACCACGGGGCCCATTTGGCACGGCCAGCGGCGTCTGCACCGGACCGCGGCCCGTTCCCGGAAATGAGCGCCGTCCAGCCGCCGGTGCACTAGCACACAGTGATCTGCAGCTGCCCCGAATGGCACATGTGTGCAGCTGCAGGAATGGCGGCGAACGTAATGGATACCTGTAGCGGAACGGAGACAACTGAAGCACATCATGTGTTCGCCATGGTCATGATGCATGGGAGCGTGTGTAGGCGCTGGGTTAGTTATCCATATTAATCCTTTTTCATCATTGGTTAACTGAAAAAGGAGATGTGAAAGCCATCAGCACCAAAGAAAAGATACCTTATTCACTCGAGCCCCTAATCAAATTGCTCGTTCAGCCTCAGACAGGTTCGCTTATCTCGCTCGACCGTTGACATCCCCAATATTGTCCCGCTGGACCTATTATATCGGCCCCCATATTGTCCCGCTGGACCTATTATCGGCCTCCATGTTGTCCCGCTGGACCTGGCGATGGCCCCAACATTGTCCTGCTGGACCTATGACGGCGCCAATAGTGTCCGCTGGACCTACGATCCCCCAATATTGTCCACCTGGACCTATAAAAGACAGCTCAAGTGCCGGCCGCGTCGGAGCGATGACGGCCCGCCTGCCTTTCAGTGCCGCTGCGGCTCGACAGACTAATGGCCCTGTCAATGAAACTCAGCCGATCCTGATCAGATGGCGAGCGATTGGCGAGGCGCGGGACACGGTCACTCGTCGCGGGCTACGCACCGCAAATCACCGCGCCAGAGATGGATTGCCGGTCGGACTGCGGAGGACCGTCAGTCGGACCACACCGGACCGTCGGACGGAAGTCGGACCGCTAAGGACCGTAGGACGGACCACACCGGACCGTCGGACGGAAGTCGGACCGCGGAGGGCCGTAGGACACTGGACAGACCGCGGAGGACCGTCAGTCGGACCACACCGGACCGACCGTCCGGTAGGACCATCAGTCGGACCGCCGGACCGCAACAGACCATTGCATCGGCCGGGGATGAAGAGCGGCCAGTACTTCCAAGCTCAAGCTGGGTCCCCCGACACGCTCGTGGTCAGCCCTACAGCTTTATCGGGCTGTATATGTTGTATAACTGTAAGGCTGTCTGCTATGTGTACCTTTGCCGCCTTTGCGTCTCGAAGACCTATACGTAACGGGGCGCCACCAGCCATTATATGGCCGTACTGAAGTGCTCTGAAAGTGCACGCATGCAGACATGCCTCCCGACTGCAGGCATTCCATACACTGACGCCGCCCTCGTGGTCCAAATTACTATAGGATGAATTTAGGTATGGTTGGCGTTGATGCATAATGTGATGACATGATCAATCAACGGAGCCACTGCTGACAGCAAAATCGCAGGTAAGATGAGTTTTCTCTGGACAATCTAACACTGGACGAACGACCGATAGGTATACATATTACTAATCTAAGCTACCCAAGTTGGGGGATATTCGAAACTGCTATGCATAGAAGGGGATGCAGCCCTCACAAGACACAGACAAAACGCCAGGAGCGAAAAGAAGTTCACTGCATGCATGAATGTGGTACTAAGTCATGACTGGTAAGTGGTAGGAAAAGGATACAGATAACGTTAGGACGCAAGTGTGGTAAGTTCCACGAGCCTCAGTGTTCGGACTGAGCTCGGGCACTTGCAGAGCTGCTGGATCGCGCAGACCGTACTCACACTGCGGGTCCACAGATACTCCGACCATGCTGGCTGGAATGTCAGCTCGGCACGGCTGGCTGCCCTGTCGGCCTCAGCTGTGCCGAGTGAGAGACCTCAGGAGTGGCGTAGTGACCGATCACAGCCCAAGGTTGGACCGGTCGGTCGCAGCGGTGACACGGTCGCAGATCACAGCGGTGGCACGGTCGCAGCGGTGACCGAGTCACAGGGCACACAGGTCACCGAGCCACAGGGCACAACTCCGCGGCGGACCGGTCACAGGTCACTGTGGCGGCCTGGCCACAGTTCACAGCTCTCCGCAGTGGACCGCTGACAGGTCACAGCGGTGGCACGGTCACAGGTCACACCCTCGCGGCGGCGCCATTCATTCGAAGCGGCCAGTCAGGCCTGGTCACCACTGTAGGAGGTGTGACAGCACGCGCCCACTACCCAGCGCCGGTCGCGCCCCGCCGGCGCCGCCAGCCTCGACGGTACTCGGTCGGCGCCGCGGCTCGAGCTCAGAGCTCCCGCAGCGCCGCCCAGCGGCTAAACGATCAACTACAGAGATGCCTTGGAATACAGGCGCGCTCTGGCCGTAATGCCTACAGCCAAACCAAAATAAAACTCTCATAAACTATTTTTGATGTAATTTTGAATCCATTGAGACGATAAAAGTTCATGTTCTAAGTATAATGACTTTATCTGCGCGCCGGTCGATGAAAAGTCATTATAAGTTATAATGACTTTTCTCTTAACCCTATTCCTGGCGGGGGGGGCCTCAGGAGCCCCCCCCCTGAGGTTTTTTGGTTATTTCTCCCAAACGCGTTGAGCTAGGAAGCTCAAATTTTCTGACTTTTCCTATAAGGCTTCTACGCAACATGTCTGAAAATTTTGAGTTGATCTGACCTCAGGTCAGGTCACCAGAGGCGGTTTGGTGACCCTACCTCAGAAAAGTTTGCAATCACGCCAGAGCTAGAGTTTTTGACCGATCAATTTCTTCTCTTCAGGCTTTAGTTAGGGTACCAGTATGTGCAATTTGTATATCTCGGAATTTTGATATCGGTGACCTAAGGTCAGGTCAGTTTCGCGACCTCCCCATTATAAGTCAATGGGGGAAAAATCAACTCCCTGTTTTTACCACTAAAACGGGTCGGAATGGCCCCATATACCATACATGACTTCATATACGATCAACCTTCACTACCTTGAGGTCTGTTTTGCTGTTGGGCAGCTGTGAGGTCATGTGACGTCATCAAAGGTCACCAAAGGTTTTTGGCCAATAACTCCGTACAGGAACAAGATACAGACGCGTGGATGGTCTCATTGTGTTCAGCTCGTCAAGACGCATCGAATGATATACATGATGACCTCGAGGTCACGTGACCTGAGGTCAACCTTTGACCTTGACCTTTCGAGGTCAACATATATATCATTCGATGCGGATTGACGAGAGGATCACGATGATGCCCTTAGTTTGTTCCTATCTTGACTAATTCGAAAGTTATTCGAGAAAAACTCTCTCCTTATCTAGCGCCGCCATTTTGACTTTTTCGACCCCTATGACGTCATCTTTGACCTGACCTGAAAATGACCTTCGTAAAAATTGTAGACCTTGTCCATGCGTATCCGATGCCGTTTACCGCTTGTCGCTATCTTGCTTCGTTCTCGAGATCTCAGGGGGGGGGGCCGAATCGGCCCCCCCGCCAGTTTCTTGTCCCGGCGGAGCCCGCCAGGAATAGGGTTAATAGTTAATACCTAAGACCCCATTTTCATGCAATGTTAACCCGCGCCCCGCTGGGCTATTCAGCCATACGCGCCTTGCTGGGGAGGGGGGGGGGCAGATTCTGCCCCCCTGTCTTACTTCCGAACCGATGGTCGTAGAAAGACGGGGAAAACGGCAATCGAAAGCTCTCAACAAGGCGGATCTTAAAATACCATTTTTTTGCTTAAGTAGGTCAGAGGTCAGGTCAAGGTCAGGTCAAGGGTACAAAATGCAAGTTTATACGGTAGGTATCGGCCTTGCACCGTAGTTGCCGAAGAATGGACTGAGACCGATTGCCCAAAACGTGTTCTTAGGCTACCAAGACAATATCCGTTGCATACAATATCATGCAAAGGTCAAGGTCAAGATCAGGTCAGGTCACCAAAAACGAAATATAGAAAACGGCATGTGCGACCCATGTTTTATGGGTCATTTTATTCATAGAATTAAATAGGCACACTCAATAAGTGATATGGACCACATATGGATGAATTTCAGGTCGAGGTCAGGTCAAGGTCAGATCAAGTGAGGTCAAATTTGGAAGGTGGTTGTTAAGGCCTAAAAAGGTGTCTATCTGATGCAGTTTTTCACGGCGAATCGAATGGTGCCATTTTTGTTTCCGTACGAGGTCTAAAACTTCAAAAAAAAAATCAAAAATTTTGTGTGTCGTGACGTCATAAAATTTTGAATACCTCCCACATTTTTGAACCGATTCTTCTAAAAATTGGTAATAGGTGCACATAGACCACTTCTCTGACATATATTCCGGTTTTTTTCGATACACTCAAAATTTTGAATGTTATAATTATTTTCACACAAAAATCAGTTAAAAAAAAAATTGGGCCAAAACCCAAAATTTTCAAAAAAAAAACGAGATAACCATTTGATAGACAAAGTAAAATCACGTTTAACTTTTTTGTTACGTCTTGATTCCTTTAAAAATGAAAATGTTAACGGCGTTTGAAATTTTGCCGTTTTTTAGGCGAAAATGGCGAACATGACGTCACTAAAACGCCATTTTCTCAAAACATTTCCGACAAATTTCGCTCAAATTTTCAGGGAACGTGTCAAATTGATGTATGATAAGGTACTGAAAGTTTGACGTCGCTGGTGTAACGCGGTTAGAAGTTATTGGCGAAAAACAGGAGGGGGCAGATTCTGCCCCCCCCCCCTACCCCAGCGGGGCGTGGTTTAATGTAATCAACGACGTTTCATGTTTTCAATCATGCAAATTAAAATGTTATAGTTGGCGATCTTAACTACCTTTCGAATGCTTCCAAAATCTTCCCTAAAGGTCGCAAAATTCGAAAAAGTCACCCGAGGTCAGTAAAGGTCAATGGCCTTGACCTGACCTTCAAGAGACCTTGACACCCACTGAGATGCATGGGACAACCATCATTTCACATGCTGGCCCATTTATGATAAAAAAAAGTCTGGAAACTTAAGGATAATGTGTGCTGACATTCTCCGAATCGCAATTCCGGTTTAACATGGTCTCAATGAACACTGAACAGGTTACAGGTCAAAGGTCATTGGGCCGGAAATGTTAATGGTGTGTGTAAAATTGAAAAATTAGAAGGTTATGAAAAGCTCCGTAGCAGTTGGTCGCTTTTTCCGCGAGTTATTTGCGGAAAAGCAAGGGGTTCCATCCGACCCCCGTCTCATAAGTGCGAGGGTCAATTGATGCATTTCGCTATGCAGGACAGCAGCAGCATGCCAGTGCCGAATGCAGAGGGTCTAGTATGTACAATATACTATTGAACACTTTACTATGTCATTATGGTACACTTTACTATAACATAATACATATAAAACCCATTAGCATAGACTACTCCACATCTTATATGATATGGACTAGTCTATGTTATTGGTTGTGTGCGCTCGAGTCGTACGAAGGTGTGCGTCTGAAGCACAATTCATCATTAAATGGAAAGGCACTCAGAATCAAAAGAGTTTCAATGACGCAAGTTATTTTCCTCCCTTTCCCACCCCTTTATCACCTCACCCCCCTTCCCCACGACACTAGATCCATCATCCGTTTGAAGTCCCCGTTCGCGCGGTGCAGATACGGCGCTCAGCCGCGGAGGCGCCGCACCGGACGCGCGCTGTCACCGGACTCCGCGCCGCCCCGTCGGCGACTGTCGCGGCCGTCGGAGCGACGGAGGCTGCCGAGCGCCGCAGCGGCAGTCCGCCGCCAATACAAACGACCCCGCGGCGCCTCGCGGCATTTATATTGAAAAATATGGTGGCACATGCCGCCCGATTCTGTTCGATAGATTACTCAGTTACTGCCGACGAGACGGGCCGAGAGCCGACATTATACAGGGACATTTATAACGTACCGTTCACTTGACGAACTCCTTCAGTGATAAGGACCAGATATTTTAATCCATCAAGTTTGGCACGAAACATGCCTAATGAAAGACATGCAATGAAAATAGAACCAAGTGGAGATAACGTTTGGAAATCGCTACTTGCTTTATAAGCTAGAGGGTTACGGACGCATAAATACATGTCGTACATCAAGATGTACGACATGTCGACACATTTTTATGTGTCGTACATCAAGCATAAGAAACGATTTTTCCGTTTTGATTAAACGTCGGCTTTGCTATCTCTTTATTTTCCAGCTATCCACTTGCCGCCTTATCAGTGGGATCGAGTTATGAGTCCGAGTCTTGATAATCAAGTGGATTTCCTACCAATTTACCATGCACTGGTCCTCTGCGGATGGCCCCAAACATATTGGTCAGTCCACTTGTCGTTCAATGTTTTCGGACTGCATGGGTGTGATCTGCCTGTCGTGCTGCGTCGCCCTGCTTCCGATCCCTGCCCTCCACCACCCGAGCCTCGCCGAGATTCCAAATGAGTAAAACGAGACAGCAGAGCCTAAATATGGAGCGAGAACGGCTCTCCGGACCCCGAATAGGTACGGCGGAAAATGGAAACATCGATTGAAATTGCGATACGAACTGGATCCGTAGCAATGTTAGAGTAGTCTAGTCTAGCATTAAAAGCCACTTCTTTATCTGTAGCCCTTGGACACACGGCAGCGCGACTGGGTAGTGTATACCCGAGCTGATGACCGAAAGGATTCGGATCTTCAGGAGTCCGGAGCGACTAATATGTACATGCGTGCGGCATAGGCTGCAGTATTAGCGACTAAATGTTGACTGCGGCCGACCATTCTTCTGAAGCCATTTGCACGTACCTTGGGCCTCCTGGATGAGCAGCGTCATCCTCTTGTCGCCGCTGTCGATCCGAGCGAAACCGGTGCTGGCCATTGTGGTTGCAGACGCCATCCTCCTGGTTCATCCACTTCAGCCCACACACAGTGCCGGGCTGCGCTCCGAGTGAAACACCGGCGCACCTACCTGCGCTCGACACTTGGGCACTCTTCAGAAACCGCGGCACCACAGCCCCTCCAAAAGAGCCGTGAGCCCGTGCGACACTCCCCGCCACGTGAGGATCGTGCGACAGTCGCGCGAGGGCTGTGCGACAGTCACGGCGTAGCGGCTGGGGCCGATGGTGTAGCCGCCGTGGCGGACCCGCCGCTACTGTCGGCCCGTGATCGGGTGGAGCTGTCCACCCCGACCACTCGACCCTTGAACAGCTCGATAGCGGCGGAACTACCGCGTTGTTCCGCGATAGGGGTGCCGCTGCACGGAGTATATACGTTGCAGACATGCCGTC